CTCAAGTCCTTCATACATTTATTCTCTTTAACAGTTTACTATTCACAACTGTGTAATTTTTTGGGGGGTTCTACATCTTGAGGTAAAATTAACTTTGCATACATTGATTTTTTTAAACCCTCATGGTATTTTTTTTGCATTACCATTCCAGCAACACCAACGTCCCATTAAGTTTAATTTCTGCTAGTATTCTTTTATTTTAATTTAATTTATTTTTTTATTTTGCTATTAGGCTTAATTTCTTCTTTTTTTTTTGGGCTTAATTTTATTTCTTTTTTTTTTTTTTTTTGCTTTTTAATTTCATTTTTCAGTATTTAAACATAAAAACAAAAACGAATCAAAATACAAATATTTACATTAAAAAAAACCCTTTTATTTTTTTACGACCCTACACCGATCATAATAAACATATTTCCTTCAAAAACAATAAACCCTTCATTTTTTTTACGGTCATACGTCGATCTTACTTACTCGCTTCTTCTATCGTTTTCTTTCTCTTTTTATCACCTTGGGCGGCCCTTGAAGGCCTTGCCCCCATACTTTTGTCGAAAGCGACGACTCCCCACTGACTATCAAAGGCCAAGAATGACGTTGCTCCAAATCAGGCCGTGGAGGTGGTCTTCCATTTAAGCTCTTTATTTTCGGCCTTCAGTGTGCAAATCTTTGCTCGCGCATCCTTGTACATGCGCTGGAGCAGCAAGAGTTGGGCTTTGACCTGGTGGAGCTCACTCGTCCTATTCTACAGTCGGTGTGCCAATTTTGTGACTGCAGTCACCGTTCCATACAGGACGTCAATGTGAAATGATTGGCCTCAATGTCTGATTGAGCTGCTATTATTTGCTCAAGCGACATCATCGGAAGGTTGGGAAGAGTAGGAGCCGGGCACTCGGCCCAGCAACGCTTACAAGATCATTCAAGTCCGGAAAAGAGAGTAAGAGGACGGGACAAGGCCATGAAGTAGAAGAGAGAGATGTAATCAAAAGAAGGGTCATTTTTGGCAGCCTTTCTGCTCTGCTCAGTCTCTCTGTTCTATCTTTCTCACGTAGAAGAAGAAAGGGATGGAAGCGAATGAGAAAGTAGAAGGAGAAGAGAGTGATTAAGAAGAAGATGGAGGAGAATAAGACAAGAGGGAGAGAGAGTCGAGGTCGTTGATTGACCCATCTCGCTTTTGTCGGTCGGCTGACGCAAAAGTGAGGACACGTGTCCGACGCGATTTTTGACGGAAAAGAAAGAGGCGCGCGAATCGTATATCTATGTATTTATATGTTTTGAATTGTATAAATGCCATTTATCACTATCATTTTCCTCCTCCTCCTCCTCCAGTTTCTGACCCATGATTTCCTTTTGATAATGTCACAAGGGGAGAAAATTATATGATGTTATATATTATGGTATTATTTTGTTATGATATTATGTATTATGATGTTATATATTATGATGTTATGTATTATGGTATTATTTTCAAACTAATCTAATGTTATGTATTTATAGTTTGATATCTTAATCTTATATTATGTTTTTAATTAAAACTTATTTATTACACATGTGCTAACTTATGTATTTAGAAATGAATTCAAGGAGTATGACTTGAGGGGAAGACTTTCTTACTCCCAAATCAAATCAAAATATAATTTTGTGCCATCATAAAAAAGGGGGAGATTGTTAGACTAATTTATTTTTATGATTTATTTAATTATGTTTTAATTTATTTAAAAGAGAAAAATAGAATCCAAAATTTATTTTGATAATTTATTTATTTTAATTTATTTGAAAAAGAAAAACAGAATCTAAAATTTATTTTGATGATTTATTTAATTATGTTTTAAATCCAAAATTTATTTTGATGATTTATTTAATTATATTTTAATTTATTTGAAAGAGAAAAATAGAATCAAAATTTATTTTGTCCCATTATTTCTCACCTAAACTTTTATCCTAAATATTGTTTGAATGTATTTAATATTTTTTTAAATCAAGAGTTCATTTCAAACCAAAAATAATGCCCAAATCAGTGGTTCAAACAGCCCAAAACAAAGGTTCAAATAGCCCAGCACAATAGCAGGCCAAAAAGCCCAAAATAAAGGTTCAAACAGCCCAGCACAGCAGCAGGCCAAAAGGTTCAAATGGAAGATATTCAAATTAGTAATGATGGAGTGGAAGATATTCAAACGAATACAACGACTATAAACGGCTATAAGTTTCATTATATATACCAAAGCCTCTGATATGAACAAGTGACAGAAACAACAAACAAGTTACAAAAAAAAAAATTAGAAAATATTCTTTGATCTATAATCACTCACGTCTATTCTTTGAAAAATTCTCTGAAAAGTGTTCTTCAACTTTTGTTTACATCCTCTTTCAGAAATTATACACCGAGACGTATAGCTTTAAACCCATCTTTCCTGTGTGAGGTTTACAGAAAAACCAGAATTTCATTTTTATATCTATCTTTGAGAGATAATTCTTGTAGCTTTCTGTAAAAGTAAAAACAAATTATTTTCAACCTTGTAAGAGTATAATACACTCAGTGTTCTTGACTTAGAAAGTCTGTGTAAAATTTGTGGAGGATTGCTCCATCTATGAAAAGGTTGCTAGCACGCTGTGAAACTAGAGTATAGTGGAAAATCTCAAGTGAAGCTTGAGGAGTGGACGTAAGCCGAGTTGAAACTGAACCACTATAAATTTGTTTGCTTCTCTTTCTCTTTTCTTTTTATTTTATTTAAATTGCCATAGCTATATTTCACATTTTTACTGTGCTAAAATTATTAACTTACATAGTTGTTAGAACACTTGTTTTAATTATTTTTATTTCATTAACTATATTTATCTATTGTGCTAGTTATAATTTTTATTAGGGTATTATTATTTTTATTTGTAAAAACCTAATTCACCCCCCTCTTAGGTTGTCTTTTGGGTAACAATCTTTTTGGCTTGGAGTACTAGGTGAGCCTTTACTCGCTTTAGCATATCGCATATGTGTTATTTTTTTCATGTTTAGCATGCTTGCTGTCATGACCCAAACCAGCCCCTATAGGTTTAGTGTTGTAACTAGCTAGTAATCCGAGATTACTAAAGGCCTTTCTATACAATCAAAAATAACCGGGGCTGGCGGAAGCAAAATACAAAAATACCAATAGTCCACTAAGCTATGCATCTATATGAACAAACATGTACACATATAACCGTTAACTTACCCACATAACGATACATAACCTATAACATAAAATCTTCTACAAAACATATGCACATGCTGAATATGTACATCATTACCAAAAGCTTGACAATGGCCTTCCAGGCCTAGCCCCAACTCGGAGGCACACAAAACAACTCGGTAGGCTTCAAAATAGTGGCTTGGCTAAGGCTGCAAACGAACCAAGCTATTCATGAACAGCTCGGGCTTGGCTCATTAACAGCTTGTTCGAGCTCAGTTCAATTAGCTAATAAACGAGCTCGAGCTACATTTCCAAGCTCGTTTGTTAAATGAGCCGAGCTTGAGCTAACTAAGGCTCACGAGCCATAGTATATAAGTAAAAAAAAAAACTAGGGTTCCTTTGTGTATCAAATACATATGCTACTCTATTTCTGCTTGCTACTCTTTGTAACCTTAAACCTACACATTCCTAATCCTATTACTGCTGCAAAACACTCAACAATACAGATTTGGCCAACACTTGAATCAATCGCACAAACTCATCAACTCTCAGACACTCAAACATCGATGACAACGGTATAGTTTCGTTGCTCTAGTGAAGATCTGAGACTGAGAGATTATTCTTCTCTCTTAAATCCATTATGGTAAGTTAATCTTCTCTCTCTCTCTCTCTCTCTCTCTCTCTCAATCTCAACCATGGTGTCTTACATGCTCATATGCACACACAGTACACTTTTTTCACTTCACCATTGACCCTTTCTCTATCCTCTCCCTTCAGCCTCCTGCTAGAGTGAAACTTTATTCATGTTACATGTATATATTTGTCCCCTTTTTTTTTTTTTTTTGGATTGGTTTTTGCTCCCTGTTTTCAACATATAAATTAGGGAAAACTTACAACCTCTCCCATGATTCATTCAATTTTTAATTCAACAAAAATTCAAAATATTTTAGTTAAAACTTGTATAAAATCATATGAATGAAATTGTGAAGGCACAATTTTAAAAACCTTGATACAAAATAGCAGGAGCAGTGTACAAAGAGTAACAAGTGTTGGCCAGATCTGGATTGTTGAGTGTCCCCTTTTTTCTTTTTCTTTTTTTAATTGGTTTTTGTTCCCTGTTTTGAACATATAAATTAGGGAAAAGTTACAATCTCTCCCATGATTCACTTAATTTTTAATTCAACCAAAATTCAAAATATATTAGTTAAAACTTGTATTAAATCATATGAATGAAATTGTGAAAGCACAATTTTAAAAACCTTGATGATACAAAATGCTTGAAATTTTACACATAAAACAAGAATGATGAACCCATACAAGGCTTTTGAAAAACTTCAACATACACGGGCCATTTTAATTTATGAGGACCATGATAGCATTTCTTTCAAAGGAAATAATTTGGAACACCTTTCAAATTCAGTTCATTAATCTCAACACCTTTTTTTTTTTTTTCAGGAAATCATTTATTGTAGTTATGATGTTAAGACTCTGTTTGGTATTGTTTATGACTTACCTTAATTAATTTATTTATTTTAAGAGTGTAAGTTATATTGTTTGGTTCCGTTTTTATTTACCGTTTGTAAGGCAAAAAGTGATCAGATGTAAGTATTTTTTTTAATTATTAATTTTGATCCATACAAATATAGTGACAAATTCCTTTATTATCAATTTATGTGAAACACAATACTGTTGTTGTACTAGTAGTTAATTTTATTGGGGTATTATTCATTTTAATTTGTAGAAACCTAATTCACTACCCCTCTTGGTTGCTTTTTGGGTAACACTAAATTTCTTAAGTACTATCATAAGATTCATTCATATATAATAATTCTACTGTTACAGGTCGAAGGCTCCTGCGAAGTTTCCAAAGGAATGTAGACTTTTTTGTGTGTTTTCAAGTGAATCAAGTCGAGAAATTAGTGGTTTAGTTTTTGGTTATTATGTTTTGTTTAAGGATGCATTGTGTAATGTCTTGTGTAATGTGTTTTATTTATGGATGCACTATATTTTTGGCAATTATGTTTTATTCAAGGATGCACTGTTTAATGCATTGTGTAATGCACATATTTTTTTTATTATTAGTTGTATATAATTTTTTTTTTTGGGGGGTTTGATGCCCAGATTTCAGTTTTTTATTACTAGTTGTACATAATTTTTTTTTGGATGCACAAATTTCATTTTTTTAGTTATAGATAGGAATTGGAATTTCGAGCTTGTTCGAGCTCGAGCTCGTTTGCGTTGTCGAGCCTAAACGAGCCAAGCTCGAACATAATTTTTGAAGCTCGACTTGAGCTTGAGCTGAGCTCGAGCTTCTTCCATTTTGACCGAGCCAAGCCTAAACATCTGAAAGCTCGGCTCGACTAGTTTGCAGCCCTAGGCTTGGCTAAAGACCCCTTCTAAACTTGTCCTCCAGGACGCTCACATATACATATACATAAAAAAAAAATAGTGAGCTAAAGCCCAGTGAATAACATTAAAGTAAAAGGGTTAGTAATAATGTCCGCTTAAACATTAAAAGCAATTCACATGTGCGTTAAGGAAAAACATAGTAGTCATAAGGATCCACGTGTATATATAGCGGTCTTTCAAACCATAATCTATACGGACAATCATATAACTCGATGTCTTGTACACATTTGGCCCTAGTATTATTACCACCAAGCGAGGGCCACGTGCATATAGACCTCGGTTTGGTTACCCCCGGGCGAGAGCCACGTGAATATAAACCACAATATTATTACTCCCGAGTAAGGGTCACGTGAACGTAGACCGCGGTATTGTTACCCCAGGGTATGGGCCCCATGAATATAACCACGATATTGTTACCCCCGGGTATGGGCCACGTGAGTATATTGCATGAAATGGAATACTCATTTATTCAGTAAATCATGTCACTGTAGAAACAATTCTTAACAATAACAATTACAGTCAGCTACGCATTCATTCAGTAAATCATATCACTGTAGAAACAATTCTTAACAATAACAATAACAGTCAGACAGAATAACTCAAACATATCTTTATAACATTGTTACTTATAGTTCATTCCATGAGGCACGTGGCTAGGGTGTAGCGTTTGACCTATATAAGCACAGACAAGCACAAAGGTTTAATATATAGTCTCACTGGTTCAATTACTCGTTACTAATTTTCCCGTTTCGTTCCTTAATTTCCTTCATGTTTATAAGATGCAAATACACATGGAAACCAAATGAAAGTCACGCAAACGGAGGCTCAACAGTCCGAGATATAGCCAGAAAAACAGGTTGGATCTGCCTTGTTGGCTGCACGTGCGGTGGTTTGGCCGCTCATGTTGCCTTGGCCGCACAAGCAGTGGTGAAACAGTAGGCATTTTTAGGCAAATGAAGGTTGGCCGCTCGAGCGGTCTGGATCTATTTACAGCCTGAAAATCTGCTCTTGAATGGAATCTCATTCTTTCCAATATCATACTTCATTTCCATATATTTCAAGGCCAAAAACACATAAAAACATGTTGAATGCAGCATATCTAGTTTAAACAAAATCATAACTTCAAAATGGAGCTTAAATTTTATACAAAACATTCAAACCCTTTAGTTGAAATACCAAACCATCATTTATGCAAATTGAGCTCCATCCTTGAAATTCATGGGGTTTATTCTTCAATTTCAAGAAGCATGCAAGAAAACAAATTTATGAACATGATTTCCATGAATTTATGCCATACATGAGGATACAACATGTCCTTAACAATATATGGCAAAATATATGCAAAACTCACATAGAAATCATAAATCTAACTCTATAACACTTAATCTTCAAGAATTAGGAGTTAGATTCTTACTTACCTAGGGCCTTTATAGGTACTTAGGCCTCATTTGGCAATAGGCCGGTTTAACCAAAAAGTCAAAAAGTTACTAAAAAAATCAAAAAGCTAACAACACATACCAAAAAGTCAAAGATTCTCTTTTCTCTCTACTTTTTACACATTTTTTCGTAAAAAGTCAAAAAGTCATCCCAAACATACTAGTTTTTTTTAGCACATACTTTAGCCAAATAGCCAAAAAGTTACTAAATTAGCCTGTTCCCAAACGAGGCCTTAATCTTGCATAATCTTGTTGAATACAAGCTTGATTTTGAGCCTCTCCTTCAAGCTCCACACCTTCCTCTTGGTTTCCCTCTTTCTCTAGACCTCTCTCTCTTTCTCCAGATTTTTCTTCTTCTTTTGTTGACTCTAAACAATGTATATATATATACTATCTAATATTTAATTGACTCCAAATTAATTCATTCTGAATCAGATTTTTACAAAACTTCATATTAGGTCTTAAAAATCACATTGATCACAAATATATATATTCCGTTTTGGTTTCTGAAGCCTCTAATACCTTCAATTTCAGTGTAAAGTCGCAATGAAACATCCAAATGCACCTTAACGAATTAGCCGAAATTAATTTTCAATCAAACTTCTCAAATAGCTCTAAAAATTCCCATTAGCATATCCATGTACTCAATTTCGGTTTATGAACTCATTAAGGTCATCAATTTCAGTTCCACAGTCGTAGCCCCAACAGATATTTCTCCAATTTCAAAAGATATTCTCAAATTAATTCATATTAACGCATAATTAAGAAAAATAATTGTAACACACATTTCAAGGCCGTTACACTTGCCATGAGGCTAAGTGCATAAATGATAAACTGTTTGAATGCCTGTGGATGAAGGCTAATTGCTTGAATTGGAATGATTTGAGTAATGATCATATGTGATCCATTTTTCAAGTGGTACATATTCCAAACTCTTTTCAAAATAAACATAAAATCAAGTGTTCTAATTTTTGTAAGTTAGTCTATAATTGTGTGTGTGCACATCACATAGTAAGTTAGTCTAATAATCGGAACAAGAGCATATAATGTAGATAAAAATCACATCATGATTAGTAGAGGCCGATTTTTAATCGGGCAAGCGGAGGTGCTCAATATTCATGACCTTCCCCTCTCGTACCCAAGTTCTCTACCCGAAACAATCTTGGTGATGACGGACACGTGGCCTTTGGCACGAGTCATGGGTTTCCTAAATTTTTCAAAATATTTAGATGACGACTCTGTATCTGGCAAAGCAGTGGCAATTTGATTCAAAATCGATTTTCCAAAAGATTTGCCGGATTAAGACTCTTTGGTGTTTATCGATTTCACATTACACTTATGAGATCAGATTCAGAACTATAGAAGTCTGATACTGTAGGGCTATTCATCTTCTGAAAGGGAGCACAAAAAATCAAGCTACATTAGCCAACTCCGAAAAGAAACCTGAGATGTGTCATGATTATAAAGTGTTTGTCTTGTTTTAGGGCTGATCAGATTGTAATTAGTTGGTCTTGTTATATGTTTCCTCTGGTTATTGCCCCAAAGACAGTAGACGTGGCTAGTTTTTTATGTTGTCAAATTCACGAATTTTAATTTACTCTTGACATGGAAAATTGAAAATCACTATTCTTCGTAAAACTAAGGGCAGCCTGAAAGGGTGTCACTTGTCATATAAGTGGAATATTATCCTTAGCAAGGATCCCAGCAATCATTCATGTTGAAATGGCACTCAAGTATGATGAATGTAACGAATAATTCTTGCTAGCTTATTGCATGAAGTTCTAATTGTCTTTACCTGTCATTTTTCTCTCCTCATCTAGGTGTAGATAGTGAGAGTATATGAAATACATGCAGCTCTCTGTGCCTTCTGGATCTAGTTGCACTAAAAAATAGAACGTACTTTGGTAAGTCTTTTTCCTTCTCCGTGCTTTTCACTTGTAAAACATCCACGCAAGACTTTGTTTACCTATTCTTGTTATTTTCCTTACAATATTTTTTAATGAAATTTTCCTTAAATTTAGAAGTCACAAAAATGTTCTGCAAATAAGAATTACTGGACTCAGAAAAATGCAAAGAAGTGTGTGGAGCCTCTTTTACTGGATATTTCTCGAAAAAGATATTAAAAGAAGGGGGTTTGTAACAGATCAGTATGACACTAACAGTGATGGTTTTGGCTTTGAAGTTTTGAAAGGTATAAGACTTCTAAAATCTTCTGTTTATTTCAAGAAAAAGCCAAAATTGAAAGTTGACAGCAATATCTGTGAATGGTTTTTGCTTTGTAGGTTCTGAAATCTCCAACCATCAAGCCAACAAATCAAGCTGCAACCAAAATCCAATTTTACACAACCACCGTCTCAAGTGCACCAATCGTAGAACCACAACCAGAAAACCTTCAAGAAGCTGGGGGCTTGTAACAGCTCAGTATGAAACTAACAGTGATGGTTTTGGAGTTTTAGAAGGTATAAGACTTTTAAAATCTGCTGTTTATTTGAAGAAAAAGCCAAAATTGAGAGTTAATAACAATATATGGGAATGGTTTTTGATTTGTAGGTTCTGAAATCTTTGACCATCAAGCCAACAATTCAAGCTGCAGTCAAAATCAAATTCTGCATGACCATCGTCTCAAGTGCACCAAGCGTAGAACCACAACCAGAAAACCTTCGAAAAGCAGGGGGCTTGTAACAGGTCAGCATGAAACTAACAGTGACAATTTTGGCCCTATAGTTTTAGAAGGTATAAGACTTTTAAAATCTGCTGTTTATTTGAAGAAAAATCCAAAATTAAGAGTCAACAGCAATATCTGTCAATGGTTTTTGATTTGTACGTTCTGAAATCTTCGACCATCAAGCCAACAAATCAAGCTGCAGTCAAAATCCAATTATGCACAACCATCATCTCAAGTGCACCAGGCGTAGAACCACAACTAGAAGACCTTCGAGAAGCTGGTATAAAATTAGCTTCAGTGGAACAACTTTTTAGCCTTCTTGGTGGAATCACAAAGAGGGTCAAAGAGGGTATAGAAAAATCTTGAACAAACTACCTGGTAGAACCGAAAAACAAAAAATGCACCCAGTGTTGTACTCCTTTTTGTTATGAACTTTTAGATTTGTTTGTTTTAACTTTGTGTTTGTTCAAACGGATTTATATATATAGTATTGTTGCAGAACTACACTTGACTCAAGTTTAATCTCTATGTTTTCTGCAACAGAGTAGTTGTTCTTGAGCAAATCAACATGATAGTTTTTTGCTTAAGGAAAACTGCATCAATGGCACAATCTTTTTCTTTTTCTTTTTCTTTTTCTGTCAAATTCCAGATTTGTCTGAGAACAGATGACAAAGTAGTGATTGCTGAAATGAATTGTTGCCTTTTTTGTTTTGTTTTGTTTTTTTGTTTTTGTTTCTGTTTCCGTTTTCCCTCTTATTTCTTGTCAAGATTTACCAATGTCATGATAGCTTGAGTACTCATTTTTTGTTTTGGAAGTGGAGTTTTTGGTTGAAAAATAAAAAATTATAGATAATATAATAAGTATAACATTATTAATGCCATCATTTATGCACTAAAATATTTTATTTAAATCCAAGTAAACACAATTATTTCGTAGAATAGTGGTTAAGACCAAATGTTGATTCACAAAGATTAATGATGAGAAATAATTTAATTTAGAAATTTAAGATGGAGTTGTTTGCAAATTTGAGTGAAAATTAAACTAAATAATTAAGAAAATTAATTAAAAAAATAAAATAAATATCTTAGAATTTCGAATTCATCACTAACTTCATAATTGAGAGTAATTGTATTTAGTTTTCAAAAAATTGTTGATTTGGATAGTGGGATGTAAGTTGATCATAAATATATTGTCAAGAGAATTTGTATATTAAAATCAGAAAGTCACGAATCATTTTTTCGTAACACAAACTGTCATCACTAAATTAAATTAAATTAATGTTGATACACGATCTGTTTTATTAGATATAATTCGTCTAACAATTTTAATACATAACAATGAAAATCATTGTATAACATGATTTGAATAAAGTATTTATTGCACAAAAAGATCTGAAATTTATACAATAGTATCCAAATCAAATCAAAACTAAAAATATTAAATACAACTTATCTCAATGGGAACTTTTTTTAGTAAATCCATTATCTAAGAGTGTTGTTCCATAAAACCCATACTGTTTTTTAATATTCCATTAGGTCCATTTCATACAAAAAGACCAAAAAAGCCCTAAAGAAACACGCGCCCCTCTCTCTCTCTCTCTTTGAATCTAATAACCGTCTCTCTTCCCCTCTCTATTCTTGCGCAAGAAATCATGCACAGTACCTCTACAGTCCAGAAATCCAAAACCATATTCCACATCGCCTCAACGCCCACAAGACTGTATTCCTTCCATTGTTGCATCGTCGCATCGTCTCATCATCTTCTCCCCCATCCCTACGCCGAGAAGACTGTCTTCGTTCGATCGTCACATCGTCTCATCATCTTCTTCGTCGTTCGTACGCCCAGAAAACTGTATACGTTCCTTTGTCGCATCGCCCCTTCGTCTCAACATCTTTGTCGTCGAAATGGGCAAAAAACGTAAGCATTCATTTATTCTGAACCCCTCAATCGTAATCCCTAACCATATTGATTTTTCCAGTCAAAAACATTACAGTTGCCATTACATTGTGTTCACAACTGTCACCATTCGAAAATGTTTTGGTTGTAGTTGTTGTTATTGATATCTGTGAACATTCACATTGATTGGAAATGGTTTGATAATCAAATTATTCCAGATGTTATTCGGTTGTTGTTCAATGCAGTGAACATTCACATGGATTGAAAATGTTTTGGCCAATTCTGTTTCTATTTTTGTTGTTGTTGTTGAAAGATGTGAACATTAAATGCCGAGAAGACTGTCTTCGTTCGATCGTCACATCGTCTCATCATCTTCTTCGTCGTTCGTACGCCCAGAAAACTGTATACGTTCCTTTGTTGCATTGTCCCTTCGTCTCAACTTCTTTGTCGTCGAAATGGGCACAAAACGTAAGCATTCTACTCATGCGTGTATTTAAACCATAAACCTGTTTACCAATAACCAACATTGTGAACTTTTACAAATATCCCCTTTTCCTATGTATACAATATATAGGAGTCCTTATTGTTCATACCCTAAGATTTATTCTGAACCCCTCAATCGTAATCCCTAATTTTATTGATTTTTGTAGTAAAAAACATTACAGTTGCCATTACATTGTGTTCACAACTGTCAACATTCGTAAATGTTTTGGTTGTAGTTGTTATTGAAATCTGTGAACATTCACATTGATTGGAAATGGCTTGATAATCAAATTATTCCAGATGTTATTCGGTTGTTGTGAAATGCTGTGAGCATTCACATGGTTTCAAAAATGTTTTGGCCAATTCTTTTTTTGTTGTTGTTGGTAACAGATGTGAACATTCACATTGAGTTAAAATGTTTGAGTAATCAGGTATTAATGGTGTTGTTGTTGTATGCTGTGACAATTCACAGGCATTGACACTCTTTGGCCAATTCTGTTGTTGTTCTTGTTGTTAGAAGATGTGAACATTCACATTGCCTGAAAATTGTAGGACAATCAGATATTATTAGTTTATTTTGTTCTAGGCTGTGAACATTCGCATTGCCTGAAAATTTTAGGACATTCAGATATTATTGGTGTTGTTGTTCTATGCTGTCAACATTCACATTTCCTAGAAATTTTAGGAGAGTCAGATGGTATTTGTGTTGTTGTTCTACGATGTGAACATTCAGATTGCCTAAAAGTTTTAGTTCAATCAGATATTATTGGTGCTTTTGCTCTAGGCTGTGAACATTCACATTGTCTGAAAAATTTTAGATGAGTCAGATATTATTGGTGCTGTTGTTCTATGCTGTCAACATTCACATTGCCTGGAAATTTTGGGATAGTCAGATATTGTTGGTGTTGTAGTTCTAGGCTATGAACATTCAAATTGCTTGAAAATTTTAAGAGAGTCAGATATTATTGGTGTTGTTGTTATATGCTGTGAACATTCACATTGCTTGAAATTTTTAGGACAATCAGATATTATTGGTGCTACTCTTATATGCTGTGAACATTCACACTGACTGAAAATTTTAGGACAATCAGATATTATTGGTGCTGCTCTTATATGCTGTGAACATTCACACTGACTGAAAATTTTAGGACAATCAGATATTATTGGTGCTGCTCTTATATGCTGTGAACATTCACACTGACTGAAAATTTTAGGACAATCAGATATTATTGGTGCTGCTCTTACCATCATTTTATATGTTTGTGTTAACATCCACATGTTCTTCAATGATGTTCATGGTTGTATAAAAATGCATTGTTTACCACACACTGAAATGATATGTTCATTGTGTTGGTCGTGACACAGTCGAAATACACATTCATGTACATATGTGAATGTTCACAACCACACACAAACTCAGGTGATTCACACCCATGCACACAACTGTGAACATGCACATCAGTGGTATAACGATCCCGGTTTTTCCTTTTGTGCTTAACTGTAATCCGGATTCGGTTTCGTAAGGGTGTTGTTGTCTTATCCTCTTTCTATCCCTTACTCCTTGTGTTCGAGCTTTGGGTTGTGTTAGGCAAGTTGGGAATAAGTTGGTTGTGTTTAAAATGTAAAATCTTCGCCCAGTTTTTAGTCTTTCCGCTCGAGCAGTGCTTTTGACGCTCGAGCGGGACTCTGTTGTTGCTTGTCTGCTCGAGCGGGGGTGTTGGCGCTCGAGCGGGGAAATCACCCATCCAGTATTTCGTCTGCAGCGGTAAACGCTCGAGCGGAGGATTGGCCGCTTGAGCGGGAGTTTGTGTCTGACGCTCGGGCGGGGAGTTTGACGCTCGAGCGGGAACCTTGTCTGTAAAAGTTCTGGGAGCATGCACCGCCGCTCGAGCGTGAGATTGGACGCTCGAGTAGGGATCTGTGAGTGACACTCGAGCGGGGATTTTGCCGCTCGAGCGGGGCGACTTTTATATAAAGCCGAGATCCGACCTTTTTGTTCACTTTTCAACATCCTTTCTCTCTCTTACTTTTCCAAAAAGCTATTTTGAGAGTTCCTCACACTAAAACCCTAACTTCTCTCTTAGGATTGATCTAGTAGGAGTTGTTTTCTCACCTTGGGCCTTTACAAAAGTTGTGTTGATCGTCGAGGGCTATCTTTTAATCTGAAAATTTTGGGATTTGGAGCATTTCCGTTTCTTCATCTCCTTCGTTGAGCCCCATCATTCGAGGTAGGGATAACCTACTCCATCTTATGAGCTTTGTCTTTGAATTTTAGCATTTTGATATGTTGGGGGTTGTTGGGTAATTTTGAGAAAGTTTGGGCCTTTGTGTAATTTTACAAAAGTTGGGGTTTTAAATATATAAACCTATATGCATGTTAGGCATAGAGAAATGAGATTAATGTTGGGACATTGATGGAAATGGAAGCTTAGGGTTGTTTTGTGAATTATGGTAATTTGCCCTAATTGGTTTAATTAATTAATGCATATAATTAATTGAAGAAAGCGAGGAATTGAATTGAGAATGTTGAAATTGGGAATGTATGGGATTAAAGAGTGTAGACAAATCATTTGTTGCTCACCTAATTGGAATGTTGATATATTATCCATTTGTGCATTTATTTCCTGCTTAGAAATAATTGCTTTGGGCTACCGGTAGAGGGTAGTGTTGATTGCTGTAGACAATGCATGATGATTAGGCAAACTAAAACTAATCAATTGGATGTGTCATAGAGTATGACGGTTGATAGAATACATTAACTTTATGTATCTGTGGATTGTGCATATGGCCAATGTGTTTATATGCATTATGTGTAGACGGTTGGTAGAATACATTAACTTTATGTATTGATTGATTGCGTATGTGATTCTGTGTTTACATGCGTTATATTGTGTATAGAACCTTTGTGTTTATATGCATTGTGTAGAGGAGGAGATTGAGCCTAGAACTTAATGT